CGAACCCGCGTCCCCTGCATCGGCAGGCGGACTCTCAACCACCGCGCCACCAGGGAAGCCCAGTGCATTAGCTTTTAAATCTATTATAAATCTTCCATTTGAGGAATATTTTAATAAAGGAGTGGGTATCAGACAGGGTACCTATTCATCTCATAAGAAAACCTGTAATTCTGTTCATTTTAAGTCTAAGATAAATGTCACATTATCAGAACATTACCTGAGGTTGTTTTGGTGCTGGCTGAAGAAACAAGGCTTGCAAGGTTGACAACTTCTCCTGACGTGAAGATGAATGGGGTACCCATAGTCACAGGGTTGGCTCTCTCAGGATTAGCATTCACCTGATTCTGCATTGCTTCCTATAAAACAATGCAAGATATTTCAAAGTCAGAACACTTACTAACCAGCCTTAGTTATACAGTTACTGAACAGCCCCCCCACAATGCTCTGTCAAGCAGAACTAGTTCCGGTGCACAATGTCCCAGGGACCTCACAGTTCTCATTAAGACGACTGTTTTTTCTCAAACCAGGGCAACAGAGACATTAGATTGCTTTCCCAAGCTTATCTCTACTTTAGAAAAAAATAAAAAGGCGTTATTATTTGCAAAAACTTCTAGACAATTCACTTAACCTCTCCGGATATTGGTTTTTAATTTGAAAAATAAAGGGGGTGGCCTAAAAAGTAATTTCCAGCACTAATATTCTATGATCAATTATGTACAAGACAATGTGCTAGCTGGAGATCCCTGCAGAGAATCTACAGAGAACAATATTCTCCAGAGTTTTGTCCAACTACTTATTCCATTCTGCCATTGAAGAAATCCCTAAGAGAATATATAACAAGCAAATAAATGTGTGCCGGATTTTAAAGTCTAGTTCCATATGCTGCACTTCTGCTTCTAGAGATATCTGCACAATTTCGGTATAAAGATGCTTATCTTTATTTTATTTTTTTACTTTCATAAGCAGTTTTCTACAAACATGATCACTACTAAAAAACAGTCAAATTATAAAAGGGCTCTAAACAAGGAATTGAAAGTTGAAGAGAATAACCAGTCTATAGGGAACCATATGTCAGAAAAAACCAACCAACCACTGATAATACAGTAGAAATCGCTATTTTTTTACATATAATTATCCCCTTGCTAAGAGCTTCAATTGAAATGGATTATTCATTCTCTGATTACTGTAAAATTCCTTCTTTACCCTCCATTATCACTTCCTTAATTCAAGCTTTCATTGGCTCTTGCCTGGCCTAATGAAGGCCTTCAGCATTAAGTGTCTTCTCTCTCAAGTCTGTACCACACTCCAAACAATCATGTTTTAAAAAATCTTATTGTATCAATTCTCAACTTAAAAGCTTCTATTGGATCCCCCTTGCCCACAAAATAGTCCATATTCTTTTTTTTTTTTTTTTTCGCTGTATGCGGGCCTCTCACTGTTGTGGCCTCTCCCGTTGCAGTCCAGACATGCAGGCTCAGCGGCCATGGCTCACGGGCCCAGCTGCTCCGTGGCACGTGGGATCTTCCCAGACGCATCCGTTTTTTTTTTTTTTTTTTTTCGCTGTATGCGGGCCTCTCACTGTTGTGGCCTCTCCCGTTGCAGTCCAGACATGCAGGCTCAGCGGCCATGGCTCACGGGCCCAGCTGCTCCGTGGCACGTGGGATCTTCCCAGACGCATCCCCTACATCAGCAGGTAGACTCTCAACCACTGCGCCACCAGGGAAGCCCAATAGTCCATACTCTTTTGCATGCCATCTAACAACCCTATGTTCAGAACTCAGCCTCTCAAGCCTTAGCTCCTGCCACTCCCAAACTCTGCTTTTCTTGCCCAATCTCTGGTCACAGAACTACTTACTCTTTCCTGAATATTCCATGTCCTTTCCCACCTCTGTCTTTGATTCGCTTTTTCTAGCCTAGAATATCATCTTCTCACACCTCTGCCTACTACTCCTTCAAAACTCAGTTCAGAGCCTACATATACTTTAATCCTTGCCTTAAGCATTATCAATACTCCCTCCTGTAATACTTACTAGGTATCTGTTTACCACCATAGCACTGTAATGCTTTATATCTTGTCTTTACCTTCATCATACTGTAAACACTCCAAGGACAGGGCTATGTCCTACTAATCTTTGTATCTCTCATCATGTTATTTCCTGATATACCAGTGCTGGCTTAGGAAATCAATGCATGATATCATCACAGCTGATTTTTAATTCTGAGATGGCTTTCTTATGACTCAATATGCTTTAGAGCTATGTACTATCTCACAAGAGCTGATGTATATTCATAAAACATAAAGAGGTTTTTAATATTATCCCAAGTCAAGTTTAATTAGAAAGGGAAATTTTCATGGAGAAAAAATACTCTAAAGCCAAATAAAAACTTATTTTTGTACTGGCCACAACACTGTTCTTCAATCACCATGAATAATTCAGGGCTTTATAGAATATTATTTTTTTTTAAAGATACTAATGACACTGAGTCACAAGATTGAGACATAATGGAAGTATTACTTTGATAAGATAGAGAAAATTCAGTTTTGATTCAGCTCCTACAGAAAATCCTTAACTTCAACTGAAGTATACTGTGGTGTATAAAAAGAACAGGACCTGAAGGATGACCAGAATCTCAGCATTGTTTTTCTCCAGGGCTATGTCAAAGGCAGATTTATCAAACTTGCTGAAAGCATGGACATCAGCTCCATATTTGATAAGTAGCTCTACAACATCTCGATGGTGGTGCTCTGTGGCCCAGTGCAAAGCTGTCATCTTCAGCATGTCCTTGGCATTCACATCTGCACCATTCTGTCATAGAAAAGTAATTTTTTTTAAAGAGACACTGGTTACAGTAGCACAGGTACAATATCCCATCACCATATACAGAGGATTTCCATAGAGATTACACATATTCAAATTTAGAAATGTTTAAGAAATATCAAAGGGAAAAACATGTCTCCTGAATTCAAATTCTCCTCAATGCTGATAGACACAATGCCTTAAATGAGAGGACCTTTTAAGGACATAGTTGGAAATTATAACAGATGGGAGAGAAGGGGAAAAGAACAGATTTTTGTTGCATTTATTAACAGAGAGCTGAGTGCCTGAAAAAATAGGCATAAGATCAGAGAACACCTGCAGAAGAAAAATGAAGAAAGATCAATAAAGTCTGTTTAGCCTTTAAAAACTTAGAAAATAAAATCCTCATAGCCATGATGACTCTTGAAAGAGATGCAATTCAATGCTATAAACTGTCCTAAACTTAATCTTCCCCAACCTAGTTTCCTACCACCTGTTGAAGTAAAAATACAGGGAGGTATTTGTCTTTTTTATAATATAGACCCCCTCACTCTTCTTGCTTTACCCTAACAAGTAGTTCCACGATGTGTGCATGTCCATCAGCTGCAGCCATGTGCAAGGGGGTCCTGTCCACTTTGGTCCGGGCATCCCTGCTAACGCCTGCTCGAAGGAGCACTTCTGCTGTGGAATAATGACCATACTGGGCTGCAAGGTGGAGGGGTGATGTTCCAAGCTGTGGGAAAATAATACTCATTTAATATCAACTGTGTGCAGAGTCCTAAATCATTACTGGAGGGATACCAATGAACAACAGGTGACGCCTAGGTTCCTGTCCTTGGAGAAAGAATCTGGCTGGACAGATAAGCTGAAGAAATTATTTCATTAAAATTAATACACTAATGGACAAATAAATATACAACCAATTAAAGAAGCGCTAAGTATAATGGATTTAAGTCAGGTAGACTTACCAGGTAAAATTCCATAAAGGGTATGATTTTAAATAGGGCTTAGAAGAAGGTTTAAAAAAATGGATAGAAAAGAGCATTCTGAGTCAGGGATAAAGGGAAGGGATAGGCAAGTTCAAAACAATTCTAGGAAAAGGGCAGAGACTAGAAAGTTATATGTGAAATTTAGGGTACAAATTTAATTGGTTGAAATAGAAGTTTGTTACCACAGTAAAGCAAAGCAAAAATACTGATGAGATGAAGTGCCCCCCGCACCCCGCAGAAAAAAATAGCAATGGTGTGTCAATAGCAATAAGCAAGTCTGTATCATCTCAAAGTAAGTCTTGTTACTAATCACAGTTATCTATCAGCATCCATTTTGGCCAGAGATCTATTCCTTTTTCATGTTATGCTCTCTATTTTAAAACCTATTTCGTTTATTCTTTGCTTTTCATATATTCACTCTCTTTACCTGATTGGATTTAATTCACATTGCTCTTTTCAGGCCTATTTATAGAAATGCTAATCTCATTGGTTTCCTTTCTTCCTTTTTGTGAAGTGCTAAGAAACTGCTGGCCTCTAAAGTTATGAATTAATCACCCCAGAACAGAGGACAGTGCTTACCGAATTGTTAAAATTAGGCAATGCTTACAAAATCTATGAATACTAAGCAAACCCATGTTATAACCGGGACCTGGATCTTCTGACACTCAGCTCTCCAAGTTGACTGTCTGAACTCATGAAATTACACCTTTCTCTTTAATGTTTTTTAACAGTGGTAAAGGAAACAAAATGGCTAGGCTATTCCTTATTAATGAGGACATTTTAGAGAAAAGGAAACAAGGAGTTTCATTAGTTTAGAAATGCACTCAGTACACTGATTTTGTTTAATTTCTAGCTATTTATAGCCTATAACCCAAGTACACTCCAGGGAGAAGTAAACCTTTAGAAAATACTCTAAAAATTAAAACATTATAGGGCTTCCCTGGTGGCGCAGTGGTTAAGAATCCCCCTGCCAATGCAGGGGAAACGTTCGATCCCTGGTCCGGTAAGATCCCACATGCCGCGGAGCAACTAAGCCTGCGGGCCACAACTACTAGAGCCCACGCAACTAGAGCCTGTGCTCCACAACAAGAGAAGCCACCGCAGTGAGAAGCCTGCTCGCCACAACAAAGAGTAGCCCCCGCTCTCTGCAACTAGAGAAAGACCGCAAGCAGCAACGAAGACCCGATGCAGCCAAAAATAAATAAATAATTAAAAAAAAAAAACATTATAGAAAGTCACAAGTATATAGTATCTTACAATTACCACCCATATATCCACAGGAGATTATTTCAATTTGGAAACTAAAAGAAAAGGAAAACCACATATTCAGATGAGGCAAAGAAAATGAAATGCTTGTAAGGAGACTGAGGCAGAAACAGAATGAAGAAAAATCAGTACAGACTGTTTAGCCTTTATGAAAAAGGTTGGTAACAGTGCATACTGGGAATAATTAAGAGAGCTTACCCAGTCTGTGGTGAATGGGGCACCATTTGCCATCAATGTTCTCACTTCATCATCTTGGCCTTTTCTTGCTGCTTCTAGCAACCTCTTCCCCAAGTCCACCAAAGACATCTTTATGCATAGGAACACAAATTTTTGGGAAGCTGTCACTCAAACACAAGGAAAGCTGCCTGTAAAATGTTTTTAGAAGACCTCTTGTATATATGCTTTTAGCAGACCTCTTGTATATATGTAAGATACTTCTCAAGCAGACTATCTGATAAGGCACTTCTTTTCTACTTCATCTAACACAAACAGTCAGATATTTGGGAAGTTTCTGGCCCTAAACCATAGTTCCCTCACCTTCAATCTCCAGAAAAATACTTTGGAAATATGTGAAACACATTACTGCCTTTCTAGCTTAAGGAATCAATAAAACAGCATTTCACCCCTTTGAAACAACCATGGGTAGAAATAGTACATTACAACAAAAAATGAATAGATAAACCAAGGATACTGAGACTCAGGTACATGGCAGACACTTTTTCAAAAATGAACAGAGGGCCTCCCTGGTGGCGCAGCGGTTGGGAGTCCGCCTGCCGATGCGGGGGATGCGGGTTCGTGCCCCGGTCCGGGAGGATCCCACGTGCCGCGGGGCGGCTGGGCCCGTGAGCCGTGGCCGCTGGGCTTGCGCGTCCGGCAGCAGGGGAGGCCACGGCGGTGGGAGGCCCACATATCGCAAAA